TTTTTAAAGACTGAGTAATATTCTGTCGGAGATATATAAAATCATGTTTCCTTTTATCCCTTGCACTGAGGCATACATTACATTTAGGTTGTTTTTCCACTTCTTGACTACTGGAAATAATGGTGCAATAAGACTAGATATGCAAATATCTCTAAGATCCAATTTTCAATTCCTTGGATATATATCTATAAGAGGTATTTTCTGGATCAGTTTTTTTTTTTGTAATTTCATTTTTGATTGTTTAAGGAACCTCCATACTGTTTTCCATAGTAGCTTTATTAGTTTACACTTCCACTAACAGTACACGGCAATTTTAATTTCTAAATAAATACATATTTTTTGGCTTGTTTGTTTTTGCTTTGTTTTGTCTTGTCTTGTCTTGATAATGGCCATCCTAGTGGATGTGAGGTGATAAATCTTTGTGGTTCTGAATTAATTTCCCTAATGTTTACTTGATATTCAACATTTTTTTCATGCTTGCTGGCTAGGTATCTGCACATCTTCTTTGGCAAAATCTCCATTTAAGTCCTTGGCCCATTATCTAATTTGATTAGTTCTGAGTTGTAGAAGTTCTTTACATACTCTGGATAAGAACCCCTATCAAATACGTGGTTTACAAATATTTTCTCCCATTACGTAGGTTCAGCTTTAACTTCTGGTTATTTCCTCTGCGTGCATAAGTTTCTAAATTTGATGTAGTCCTATTCATCTATTTTTACCTTTGTTGCCTGTGCTTTGGGTGTCATAGCTAACAAATTGTTGCCACAAGATACAGCATATACACGCACAAATTCCCTGTAATGAATGTACTACACTTGATTTTAGCCAAAAGGCCAAGAAACGATTCCCTATGATGAATATGATCATTGTGCATATCTAAAATGCACCAATTTTTTAAATACAGAAAAAGATGTTCATAAATCAACCCAGCTAGAGATAATGAAGGCTTCACAAACCTTTCAAAGGAATGTATCTTCTTTGAGTTTATTTGTGTAATCTTCTTTGAGTTTATTTGTGTAATTTCACAGTCAGAGAGGTTTGCTAGCTTGTTAGGTTTTCTGGTACATTTTTCCCCTGTCCTCTGCAGTCTTCTACTTCCTCTGTGTCTGCCTGCAGTGCTGTAGGTACTCTGGTAATGGTCTGTAGTTCTCAGGTGTCCTCAGGTATCATCCACACTCTGAGTCAGGCAAGACAGAAACTAGTCCCTTGGGTAATCCTGAAAATCCAGAACACTAAACAGAGAAACCATACATTGGGCTTTTCTTCTAGATCATGACATATACATGACCCACATGGAATGAAACAGCATCTGTTACCTGTTTCAATGCAGTAGAACCCAATTTTGGGCTTACCTAGAATACTGTGACACTGTCTGATTTCTGCCATTGTCATAAAGGTTTTTTTGGACCACATATTGTTGTTAAGTCAATATTTGTTTGGTTAAATGAAGTCTGAGGTTTCCTTTCCTATATCTTGCTAACTGCAGACAGATTTTGAGATCCATAAACCATATTCGACAGCAGTCATCAAGAATTCACAGGAATTTTTTTTAAATAAACTTTTTTCTTTCATTAAGTTTGGTACATTTTAGGTATACAATACAGTTACTTTTGTCATTGGGAACTTGTACCTTTACATGATGTATCTTGGATCTTATTTTTTCCCCATTCTCCTGTCCTCTCTTCAACCCCTCCACCCCTCCCATTTACAAAGACTTTGTTTCCATTTTTTCTTTTTCTCATATTTTTCCTCTCCCTTCTTTTCTTTCCCCTACCCCTCACACTTTCCCCTACTCCTTTAGTCCTTTTCTTCCTATTTCACATTAACGATTGTACAGTAATTTTTTATTTAAAGCAAAAGATATGAAATATCTTAAATACTCATTTTCACCTCTCCTATTGTGAATGTTTGTTGTTGCCGTTGTCAGAATTTAGAGTAGCTGGGAGTGGCAGCACACCCGGGCATGGTGGTGCACATCTATAATGACAGCACTCCAGGGGCTGAGGTAGGAGGAATGCCACGAGTTTGAGACCATTCTGGGCTACACAGCAAGAGCCTGTCTCAAAAAACCCAAAAATAAATAAATAAAACATATAAAGACACCGAGCTGGACACAACAGCTTATATACCATCTCCACTGGCATTCCCCATTATGTTCTGTTTGATTCTGGCCAGATTACAGTAAACAGCTCTGCATTAAGTATCAGCCCACTTTGGACTCGCATGCCTCATCTCAAGCTTATACCAGACACACTTCTCATTTTTTTCCCTTGGTTGTCTGCTGGATGCCCACAGGGGGCCAGTAGGTGTCAAATATATGCAACTTACAAGTGCAGGGAAGGACAGTTTCCAAGGGGCTACTTGAGATCCTCCTCAAAGAGGTCACCAGATGATAGGCAAATGTCTACCCTTTATCTTTTAATTCCTTAAGTGGATGGTTTAAATACATAGTCTCTAGTACATGAGAAGCACCAGACATCCTCAGCAGTAACAAACTAAATAGCACCTGTTAGACTTAATCCCTTATCTCATGTCCTTGTCTTATGGGGTGAAGCCAGGTAACCTCAGGCTAAAATGCACACTAAGAAAGTAGGCCCTGACCCTGTAGGATCTTGCTTTGTTTTAATAGTGAGTACATTTCACTAGACTGTACTCCTTCTGAAGAGTCTCATTCATACGTGAGTCCTATAACATGCACTCATGATATGTTTCCAACACATGCAACAGTTTCCAATTGTAGATCGCCTCACTATTGCCAAACAACTTATGAGACAATGTTCACAAGCTTGAAAGCTGGCCATTTATACAGAACTCCTTTTACATTAAAATCATTCTAGGTTTTTGTTTGTTTGGTTGCTTTGACAGGGCTAAATATACTTTGCAGAGATAATATACCCCAGATGTCCATTTTCTGATAGTGAAAACACTTTTGGAGGTAATCAATAATGTTTTACTTAAAGTATAGATTCCCTAGGAAAAGTACAATTCTACAGATTTGCAATACTATTGTATTTTCTTTCTCTATATAAAAAAATTAACTCCCTGGATTAAACTGAATGCTTCTTTATACTCCTCTTGCAACACTCAAATCAAACATATATTTCTGACTTTATAAAATTAAAACATTACAATTAACTAATTTAAAAGAAAGTAAAAGCTTGCCAGCTGGGTGTGGTGGCAGACACCTGTAACCCTAGTAGTACTCAAGAGGCTGGGGCAGGAGGATCACCATGAGTTTGAGGTCAGCCTGAGCTACATATAAGATCAAGACCATCCAGAACTACAAAGCAAGACCCTATCTAAAATAAAATACCTGTCAAAACACTGACTTTGCCTCAAATGGTACTTCTAACAAGGAAGCATAGAAAATGACAAAAGAACCAACTCAGAACATGGATAATATAAGCGTTGATGGTCTTATATAAAAAAAAATGTTAGTTGTCAATATAAAACAACTCTGAAAATACTCAAAATTGGACATATGTCTTTATTTTTACTTCAGATTCTAATTCGATGAACATTATCACATACCCCTGGTATGTCACTCTAGTGGTTTAGCTGTTGGATATAAATCATGGAATAAAGAAGCTTCATAACTAAACACATTGGAAGAGGAGAAGAAAATGTGTCAAAAAAAATACAAGTCAGAAATTTTTCGTTATCTGTTGTCTGACACGGTATGTCAACACCAAAAAGTGTCAACTATGGTGCACACTGCAATCTCTACTCAATTCCTATAAAAAAAAAAAAAACTTAAATTATCTAGTACCTAGCCCACAGAATTCAGGGTGCTACAATCTGACTTACAAGGTATCTGAAAACCCAGCTCATGGTTAGCTGTCATGTGAGCAATTTCTCCTCCAAAGCCCATGCACTCCAACTAGCCTCACTCTTCCTCCCCATCCACTGTTAGTGCTCCTGTGTGTGGTACAGCTCAAGATAAAGTCCTTCCAACACAGCTCATATACAGAGAGCTGCATCTATCATGAGCCTCAAGTCACCTGACTGCTGGTCAACCACTCTACCGAGAAAAGTAGGTTCTTTCTTCTAACTCAAAAAAACTCAGTGGTAATCTAGTATAGTGCATGAACTGATATAGAAGACTTGTTTTTTCAGAGAGAAAAGGCATCTCTTATCTGAGGTGCCTTAAATCATATTTAAACAATATTTTGAGGTATGTTATGCTAAGAACAAAATAATACAATGGCTGAAACTAAATTGAAAAGTTGTGTGAACCTGGACAAATTTCAATTTATAACTAATCCAGATCAGATACAGATATAAATTATTCAGCTTTAATTCATCTGAATTAAGTTTTACATATCCCTGTTTGAAAATCACACTAAAGTATTATCACTAATGGTACAACATTCTACATATCTCCTAGACCAGTGGTGGCGAGCCTATGGCACACATGCCAAAGTGGGCTAATTGTATCATTGAAAATGCTGCAAGGTTCACCATCACTGTCCTAGACTGAGGACAAAAAAAGACCATTATACACAGAGAAGGGTTGTACCTTACTTATAAGGAAGAACTGTTTAATGTTTCTCAACACCAAGCACATGCCCTAGCTTTAAGGTTCCATTCCAAGAGGTCAATGCTAGGTCCATTAGCCCAAAAAGGGACAAAGGTTTTAATTCAGACCCATTATGGATCATTTATTTTATAAACACAGTCCATCCATTTTTCAGCACTGGGCTAGATACTAGAGAAAAGCAGAAGATATATTTGAAAAATACAGACCATTTAGAGGGCACCAATTGTGAGTCAACTTTATAAACATTATCATATAATCTTCACAATAACTCTACAGAGAGGTATTATTATCCCTGTTTCACAAAGAGGGAAAATAAGAAAACTACCAAAGTTAAAGAATGTTTGCACTCTTAATGAGAATACTAACCCACCCCAGCATTTACCACCAAGATGCTCTGAATTCCAGTAAGGAATTCTGGAATTAGTGTAGACAATGCTGGCTCTCCTGAAGGCATTATGAACTCAGACACATCAAGTGAAGAGTCCAGGCTCTACAACTCTTAAGAGGAAGCTGATATCTAGGTCCACTGATTATTCCAGAAAGAAGTAAGGGTTATAAATTTTAAAATTGCATAGCTTTCTTTCTGAAAAGTAACACATCCCAACAGCATATATGTCTCATGGGTCATTACCAATAGGCTGAAAAGACTGAATAGGAATAAAGCACCAAAAACAGTACTTTTCACATAATAATCCGACTCAAGTCAGATTCTGTTTTCATTCTTGTTTTTTTGGTTTTTTGTTTTGCTTTATTTTGGTAACGGGGACAGAACTTGGGCCCTTGCACTTGTGAGGCAGGCCGTGGAACCACTGAGTCAAAGCCCCAGCCCTGTTTTCATTATTTAGTACACATATTCTTCAAAATTTTTTCATCATAGTTTAAAAAGAAAAAAGGCTCTATAAGGTGGTATACAACAGAGAAAAAAAAATGTTTTTCAACCAATGTGCTATCATTCAACCATAAATTTGTATTTCTGAAAACTACTATGAAATACAAAAAAAATTTAAATACTGAATGAAAAACAGTAACTAATGCTGTAAGAGCACTATATAAATGATACAGAAATACTCAAGGACTATATTTTAAGGCATAGAAATGTTACATTACTGATGATTATTTTCTTAAGTTTTCTTCATACTTTTAAAATTTCTATAATAAAAACATACTTTTAAATTATTTTATAAATTAAGCAGCTACTATGCCTAACAGAAATGTGTAAGAAAACTGAATGCACTATGTTAATATCTCTCCTTCCCCAGAATATAAATAGGTGTATGCTGTTCCCCCAAGTTCCTTCCAACAAACCACTATAAATAACATGCAGGTATGCTGGACTAAGATGCTTAATGATGATTTAATAATGCGGAGAAATAATTAGCTTCAAGAATAAAGGGAAGAAAAGAAAGAAAAATCTTAATCTTAATTTAAATTATTTGACCATCTTCAAATGGTGGTGGTTAACCTTAGTAATGCGTCTAAATGTGTGGCCCTGGGACCACCTACATTAAACTTATACAAAATTCTTTTCAAAACACAGATCCCTGCAACCACTACCCTCAGACCTAAAGAATGTAGACTTTTTGAGACAGGTCCCAAGTTTGACTTTTTAAATAAATTCCACAAGTGCTTTTAATGCACACAAATTTTTAAGAAATACTGATCCACTGACATGCTACTCAGATAAGGTAAGCATCACTTAAATTTTTTCAGTGAAGAAGGCAAAACAGAATGCTAACTCTATTGATAACTCAATTTCTCCTAATATATCACAACTTCTACCTCAAATAAGCAAGTCTGTCAGGATCACAAATGTAGGAAGCAGCTATCCTGAAAATGTGTTTCTTCTTTCTAACCTGAAAACATTCCTAAAAATTAATTTTGCAAAATAGATTTAGAGCCTTAGAATGTCCATGACCTTTGCCCAAAAGTTTCACTGGTAAGAACTTTTCCAATGAGAATATCAAACGATCAATAAAAGGATTTTAGGTAAACATGCTTGGAACAGCATTATTAATATTCATTAAGGCCATGTCTTGATTGGATGTTCTATATACAGTATTACTAGCCCACACAATCCTCACTTTAGAAATGAGGATACTGGGGCTGGGGATTTAGCTCAGTGATGCTGCCACCTGCCTCACAAGTACAAGGTCCCGAGTTCGATGCCCAGTACCAAAAAAAGAAAAGAAATAAAAGAAATGAGGACACTGAAGTTCAAAGTAGTCATTAACTTGCCCCAGGCCACACAGCTAACATGACAGGGCCAGGATCTGAGTCCTGAACATTTTAAGTAGAAATAATAGGCTCTTTCCATTGTCTGGTCACACAGAAAATATTCTAGTGTTATAACATTTAAGCACAGTACACTGTCTCAGGGGAATATACAGTCATTTGAAATTATGTTCTTCAAGAATCTTCTTGAGAGATTGCTAACTGAGAAAGAGGGAAGATATGACCCCAAGGTAGAACAGAAGCACACAAAGGTAGGTGTCACACTTCTGTTGGTTTCATCTGCACTTCGAAAGCTTAAAATTGTACCTGATATAGAAACAAAACATGTCTTGTAAAAACTATTATGTGGGGCTGTACTTTTTAAAAACTAAGAAAAAAATTCCCATTTTCACGCATAAGAAAAAAGCAATAGATTTACTGATTAATTATTTCATCTTCTAAGAATAACAGATTTGAGAAATTGGGGGAACTATATAGAAATCCATATTATACACAATTTGAAAGCTTGCATTTATTTCATTATATCTAATAAAAATAAAAAATCAAGCTAAAATTGAATCCTCTGGCTTTATACATGTACCTACCTCATTCTGTTCTGTTTATGAAATCATATTAAATGTTTTTATATACATCCTTCCATACAATGCATAAAATACTTACTCTAAATAGATCTCCAAATGCATATGTAATTCACTTTTTCTAATTGTATAAGTGAGTGATATATAAATTTTTTAATTCATAGAATTTTTTCAATCTGTATTGTCTGCAATTTTGTTTTTCTACATTATAATCTATATATATTTTTATGCAAAGAATACTCCCCTTTTCTGGTTCCTCAAACTCTGGAGACCCATTGGTTATTAGGCCACTCTCTGAAACTTTGGATGCAGGGTGGAATATGGAAAATTAAATATTACCTCTCATTCAATAAAGCCCTTGGCAGCTCATGGAAAATAAATTAATTAAATAAACAAAATCTAATGGAATGCTGTGTACAACAAACACATTTAACCCAAAAAGAAAATCACAGACTACAAAATCAAAGGATGGAAAACAGTATTTCAGGCGATGGAAACCCACTACCAATTTAAGGCAAGTAGGAGTAGCTATACTATTTTCAGACAAAGTGAACTTTAAGCCACTACCAATTGGAAGACGCAAAGACGGTTACTATATATATTGGTTACAGAACAATTCAATAAGAAGAGAACAATTATTAACATATATGCACAGAACAACAGACCACCTAACCTTATGAAACAAATACTACTGGACCAAAAAGATCAGATAAATGCAAATACAATTACAGTGGAGGACCTCAATATCCCACTGTCACAAAGAGATCACTAAAAAAAAAAATCAAGAAAGAAATATCAGAGCTGAACAAAACCTTTAAACAAATGGACTTACTAGACATCTGTAGAATGTTCCAACAAAATAAACATTCTTCTCAGCAGCACATGGAACTTTCTCCAAAATAAACCTCAAACTAGCCAATAAAGGATGCTTCAGTAAATGTAAAAGAACCAAAATTATATCATGCATATTATCAGATCATAGGGCAATGAAACTAGAACTCAATGGTAAAAGAAACCACAGAAATTATGCCAACACATAGAAATTAAACAATACACTCTTGAACAATAATCAATGGTTCACAGAAGAAATCAAATAACACAGTTCCTATAACTAAAGGATGATGCCAATAAACTTATCAAAACTTACAGGACACAATGAAAGAAGTACTAAGAGGAAAGTTTATACCTGTAAAAGCCCACATCAGACAAAAGAAAGCAAATGTAAATACATAACCTAATGATACACCTCAGTCTTAAGAAAACAAGAACAATCTAAATTCAAAGCTAGTACAAAGAAATTATAAAATCAGAGTAGAAATCAAGGAAATAGAGTCAAGAAAATACAAAGAATCAGTCAAAGAGCTAGTTCTTCAAAAGAACAAAAGAGACAAACCTTTAGCCAATCTTACCCTCAAAAGGAGATAAAAACCCAAATTAATGCAATTAGAAATGATACACACTGCCAGAACCCAGATTATTATTAGCAAATACATGGCAAACCTGTAAGCCAGTAAGTTGGGGAATTCAGAAGAAATGGATAGATTCCTAGATTTAAATGTATTATCAAAACTGAACCAAGAAGATAGAAAAATACTGAATAATCCAATAATAGGCAATAAAATTGAAGCAGTAATAATAATAATAAAAAAAAAACTCTACCGACCAAGAAAAGCTCAAGTCCTGATAAATTCTCTGCTGAATTCCACAATACTCTTCAAATTTTTTAGTGAAACTGAAAGGTTTCAACTAAAGGAGGCCAGCATTACCCTGACTCCAAAACCAGCTAAGAATCCAACCAAAAAATGGTAACTACAGGCCAATCTCTCTATGAATATAGATGCAAAAATCCTCAAAAAATCCTGAGAAATAGAATGCAACAAATCTTCAAAAAGATCATATATTATGACCAAGTAGGCATCCCAGGGATGAAAGGATGGTTCAACATATGCAAATCAATAAATGTACATATCACATAAATAGAAGCAAGGACAAGAACCATATGATCATTTCAACAATGGAGCAAAAGCCTTTGACAAAATCCGATGTCCATTCCTGATAAAAAAGAAAAACCCTGAAGAAAATAGGTATAGAAGAACCTTGTCTCAATCTGATAAAAGCCACTAAGACACACCTACTGCCAACATAATACTAAATGGAAAAAAACTGAAAGCTTTCCTTCTAAAATCAGGAACAAGTATTCCATTATTACCACTGCTATTCAAAATAGTCCTCAAAATATTAGCCAAAGCAATCAGGCAAAAGAAATAAAAGGGATATGTACAGGAAAGGCAGAAATGAAATTATCATTATGTGCAGACAATATGATCCTCTACATAGAAAAAAAATTCCCCCCAAAAGACTCCTAGAATAACCAAATTTCAGGAGCATAGCAGGATACAAAATCAGCACACAAATCAACAGTGTTACTGTAAAATAGTGAACACACTGAGAAAGAAATTAGGAAAACAATACCAAATTTCAGGAGCATAGCAAGATACAAAATCAGCACACAAATCAACAGTGTTACTGTAAAATAGTGAACACACTGAGAAAGAAATTAGGAAAACAATACCATTAACAACAGCATCAAGAAAAATCAAATACTTAGAAATTAACTTAGGAAATGAAACAACTCTACAATGAAAACTGCAGTATTCTGAAAAGGAGATCGAAGAAGACATCAGAAAATGGAAAGATTTCCCCAGTTCCTGGATAAGCATAACCAAAATGTTAAAATGGCCATACTTCAAAAACTGATATACAGGTTTAAGGCAATCCCAATCAAAATGCCAACAGTATTCCTCACAGAATGAGAAAAAGCAATCCTAAAATTCATATATAAAGGTACAAGATCCCAATAATGACTGTAACTGTACTGTACTGTATACCTAAAATGTACCAATAAACTCAATTTTAAAAAAAATTCATATGGAACCAGAAAAGACCCAGAATAGCAAAAGCAATCCTGGGCAAAAAAAGCAAAGCAGGAGGCATCACAATCCCAGATTTCAAGTTACACTACGTAGCTACAGTGATAAAAATGTCATGGTACAGCACAAAAACAGGCATGTGGATCACTGGAACAGACTAGAAGATGGAGAAACATCTCCAGGCACATTCAGCTATCTGATCATTGACAAAGGGGCCAAAAACATTATGCTGGAAGAAAGATAACATCTTTAACAAATAACACTAGGAAAACTATCTATCCACATGCAGAAAATTGAATCTACACTCTTATCTCTCACCGTGTACTAAATTAAAATCAAAATGGATCAAAGATCTAAATGTTAAAACACAACCTACTGCAAGATAAAATAGGTAAAACTCTTAAAGCCATAGGCACATGCAAGGATTTTCCAAACAGAATCGAAATTGCACAAAAAATAGCAAGAATCAACAAATAGGATCATTTCAAATTAAAAAGCTTCTGCACAGCAAAGGAAACAACAAAGAGAGTGAACAAAAAAATTCTACAGATGGGAAAAAATATTTTCCAACTACTCCTTGGACAGAGGACTAATACCTAGATGATATAAAGAACTCAAAAGAATTAGAGCGCCCCCCCCCACCATGCAAAAAGCCCAATCAAAACATGGGCGACCAAAAAGAAAAGACACTACTCAAAAGTACAAAACGTCCAATAAATGCATGAAAAAAATGGCCATTAGAGAAATCAAAATTAAAACAACACTGAGATTCCATCTTACTTCACAAAGAACAGCTATCATCATGAAACCAGCAACATATGCTGGCAAAGATGATGGGGCGGCGGGGCACGGCACCTTTCTACATTGTTGGAGGGATTGTAAACTAGTACAACTACCACGAAAATCAGTCCGGAGATTCTTCTAAAAACCAAAAACAGAAATTCCTTTTGACTCAGCTATTCTCCTTCTAGGGCATTTTCCCAAAGGTTTCATATTGCAGTGATACTTGCAAATCCATGTTTCTAGCACAATTCACCATAGCTACATCTTGGAAGTGGCCAATATGTTCATCAACAGATAAGTGAATAAAGAAAATGTGGCGTATATAAAAAATGGAGTACACTACTTGGCTATAAAGAAGCATAAATCTGAGTCTATAAAGAAGGATACATGTGTGGGAAAATGGATGCACCTTGAGACCATAATGTTAACTGAAATAAATCAGACACATAAGCTGAAATACCAAATGATTTCTCCTGTATGAGAAATCCAAAATATAAAGAGCAAAATAAAAGAAAGATAATTGAAAGTAGGAACATATATTTTTTTCAAATGGAAAGAGCATCAAGAGATGGAGGAAGCAGAGAAGAAGAAAAGGGGATGAAGAAAAAGAATTGAGATGTGTTATATATGTATCAACTCCCCATAAAAATGTAATCATTATTTAAGGCAAACATGTAGTCATAAAAATAAAAACAAGGGCTGGGGATTTAGCTCAGTGGTTCCGCCACCTGCCTCACAAGCACAAGGTCTCAAGATTGATTTATAAATAGATAAATAAATAAATAATAAAAATAAAAACTGAAGAGAATAAATAAGTAAATAAAATACCAAAAAATCAGAGAAATTAAATCATTGGCTAATTTCCAAATCCTACATTTAGGCACCGCCACCTACAAGAAATGTAGTTAAAAGGCTGGGGAGGTAAATCTGTGATACAGCACTGGCCTGGTATGTGCAAGGCCCCGCATTCAATCCTCAGCACTGAAGAAGAGGAGGAGGAGAAAGAGGAAAGATAGTTAAACTCCAAATCAACTCAAATTGCAGACTAGATTTTTTTTTTACTAGTATAGAGAAACAACCTAAATGCTAGCAACTGAGCATTTTTTTATACGCCAGATCAAAAATGAGAACAGGATATAATACTTGTTATATATATGCACCTTCATCACCTACGGTCATTAATTAGTAGATTAATAGGTAGGAAAAAGATGTAAAACTGTATAACAAAGTGTTCCACTAATGGTTTTCTAAATTTTGGGCACTGCCCTAAATACTAGTATCAAAAAGATTCAGGGCTGCGGATTTAGCTCAATGGTTTGGTTGTCTGCCTTGCAAGCGCAAAGACCCAAGTTCAATTCCCAGTACCAAAAAAAAAAAAAAAAAAAAAAAAAAAAAAAGATTTAAATCAACTGTGGTGACCCTTGCAGCACAATAACAAAAGTTCCTTGCTAAAGTCATTCCCACACACTGCAAGTGATATATAAATTAGTGTTAAAATTGTGTTTTGTCCCTTGTAGCTGATTAAGCATTTTATATAAAGAAATGTGCATATTCACCATCACCTACCTCACTCACTTTTTTAAGTGAGAACTCTATTTTAAATTAGAGGAAATAAACTCAGGATAAGCCAAGTGGAATATTTTTTAGCTCATCACTCTGGACAACTTCAAATAGCATAACATGGCACAAACTTGAAGATAATTCTATCAAACTGCCTCCAAAATGACTTCATCTTCTGAACAAATTCCAGCTTTGTTGGCTGAACTAGAATGATCAATCTGTGGAAAAGCCAAAAGTGTGGAAGTCTGAACTATACTGAACCAGTCAATTCTAAAAGGGAGGACAGAAGATATATCAGAGTAATAAAAAATAAAATGGGCCTTTGTGTTGTATCACGTAATTTTTGATAAATAAAACATTAGATATGGACCAAAGAATGGAGACAAAAAAGATAGTTCCAGGGGCTAGAGTTATAGCTCACTTATTCAGAGATTATACGCCCAGCATGCAAAAGATCCTATTTGTAAAAGGAGTACTAAGATAAGAACAACTTTGGATGCTAAAGTTATTTCTTCTTTGAGATTTAAGTTTACTCGTGGATTGCACTAAGAAGGAAGTTCTACCTATATATAACTATTACCAAACAATCTAAGTTTCTAAGATTATCAATGCAGTCCAAAGTCTCTGACCAGGTAAACTGGCTCTAGTCATACTGAGAATTTGGGTCACAGTATTCCTCTGCCTTTGCCTGCCATGGGGAAACTATGAGTTGAATCACTCAGCATCCAATCTGTCTTTCCTTGCCTGATTCAAATGGACACATTCTCAGAATTTGTTACAACAAACAATGGCCAAAGAAACACAGGTGGAACTTTCAGGAGATAAAAATCCCCAGGCTGATGACAATGAAAGTGACAGGGAAGGAAGATGGCACACTCCTTGAAGTTCCTAAGCAGCTACTGAAGTCTGGACCACTTAGCCCCAGTCTTCTTGTTAGGTGGAGAAGATAAACTCCTGGGTTGTGTAAACTATTCTGTTAGAGTTTCTCTTGGCTTCAGCCAAATACATTCCTGCCTGTAAAAGTCATCGATAAAACAAACCTCTCTAACTATGTTTGAACTTAACAATGATCAACTGAACCAAAACTCCTCACAGAGACGTCTGATGAATGTGTGCACAACTACTCAGAGTGCCAAGTATGAAGTGCACAGGCTTCTACAGAGAGCAAAGCATGAGCCCCCCGCCCAGCCAGTCTAAGGAAAGTCCCCAAGCCTCGCACTGCCAAGCCACACAACCTCTGATGTGTTTTTCCAATGAGTCCATGATGCAAATTTACCTTTCAATTCTGCACTGACTCAACTTTAATTGCCCTATGAATGTTTTTTAAGGAAGTCTTTAACTAAAAAAAAAAAAGTCAAACACATACTCATCCCCAAAAAAAAAGGACACACATGCACTTTTTTAAAATTAAATGACCTGGTAAGTATTTATTTTCTAGCATTCTGAAATCTTTATCCATCATATGGGACGCTGCCTTGGCTGCTGCTACACTAATGATCGCTAAGTGTCAAAGTGCCTGACCCTGAGATAAGCATTTCACATGCATCCTCTTACTCAGGGCTTACATCACCCCCAGGTGGGACCATTATATTACCCACTTTACAGGTGAACAAACAGAACATGCTATCTCAGGCAGTGCATTTACTTTCAAAAAGCTTCTTTCTACATACCAGTAAATGATTCAAGCCCAGAGTAACACATTACAAGAAGAGAAAATAATTGAATTAGTAAAAATATCAAATGGAATGACTCAGGACCATTCAAAGAATAAAAAATATTCAAAGCAAGAACAATTACAACCAAAGAGTGATAAGAATCCTTCTCATCCATCCTGAGAAAAACTCAGAATTCCAAGGTCATGTCTAGCGATGTTTTACTCTACTTTACTACAAAGGCTAATCCACTCCACACAACTATCAGTAAGGCCAATAATATTATCTAGATAGTTGTGAATGTTCATTAATCATAAAAACATTATATCTACTTTCCAATAAATTTGATTATCAATATAGTATTTTCCTATATTATGGTTTATAAAAAATTAATTATCATGATTCATTTACTCAGTACTTCCTATGTGGCCTAAACTGTGATATTTTACTATTAATTGTCGTTCTTCTTTTAATTGTCACAACCACCTCAGGATGTAAGAACTTTTATTAACACCCATTTTTAGAAATAGAGCTGCAAGTAATAAAATTTCTCAACTTTCTTATTTGAAGGTAACACAAAGATTCAAATGTAGATCTGGCCTTGCATACTTAACCACTAAGCTTCATAAAGTTGTCGGATTTGTTCTTATTGTCTGTTACCTTTTTTTTAAGCATCAGCTTTAGAAAGCTCTATTCACTTAAGCATTACTCTTTATTTTCAGTGCCCCCTTATTTTTAAATATTTTTTGCTTCACGTTTCTTTACCCTCCCACAACAATATCTACAAATTATTACCTCTACCAAACCACAAAATCAACCCCATTAAAGTTTGTTGAATTAAAGAGATAACATGGTTACTGTGCATACTTTTTATCAGTGATGTGTGACGGCCTCTGCTTTGTTAACCAGGTCTGTGACTCAGGCAAGCAGCAGTAAAGAACCCAAGTTCTGCCTGGCACTGGAGAGACGCAACACATTTTCCAAAGTCTCCTGCAGCAGCACGAGAGAGCCCACCAGATGTCAGTCTCCCTTCACAGCAAACAGGCCATCTTTTCCCCTGTATTTTCTGTTTTGCAAAAATAAGAGACTCAGAACTTTGAAAATGCTTAATGTGACTAAATTTTATGTTTAAACTCTTAATTTTATGGTCCATATATATGTCTTTAATGAAAAAAGAAAAGTATTAATATAGTAGATCTGTGTTTACATCTCGGTACTCTTGCACCAAGACTATCTCTGGCTCTCTTCACCCAATTATTTCCTACTTCCTCCCACACTTTCCTCTGTAACACTCTCCTTGTTTTTACATATCATAACTCACATTTAATCAGTTTAAATGAATCAACACTATTATCTCACATGAAGCATGAAATCTGAATTTAAGTTCAGTGTTAAAGTTTAAAATGATTTTACTTTATCACTAAAAAATGCTGTCCATGGTATTTATCCCAAGGTCGGCAACAGACTTCTGAAACTAAAAAATAAATTCCCACTTAAAAACTTATTGACTAAAATCAATAGCTGTCATTTATATTCCAACAAAAATGTCAGACAGTATTAATGTTTGTTCTAAGGTAAGTTATTAAACAAACAAAAAAGAAAAGAAAAAAAAATACAGAAAAAAACTAGTTATTTTCCCCACATTTTGGTCTGGTGGTTTTTATGCTGTCTACCAATTATTTTAGGATTCAGTGATCATCCAAGAATGATATTTTATTTCTGTGACTACTACCCTACTGCCCATATTTTAACTTCACTGGATTTTTGGTCCATTGCATAGAAGAATTTCTCTACTAATAAAAATACAACTCATTAAAGATTAACTTGCCCCTAGGACAGTCTCTCTGGAAACAAATTCCAAGAATTATAATCACCAATTTGCACTCTTAAGACTTAAAGGATTACTATCTTACTTGTCCTGATTTAAATTGAAAAATCACATACAGTATTTTAAGACTACTGTAAAAAGAAAAATTTGTAATCCAAATTCAGAATTAGAAACCTAACAAAACACATCCTTTACTTGATCTTTTTCAAGTGAAGTTTCCCACCCAAAAATATCTAACAATATTAGAATACCTGGGGACTTAACAGACTTCCACCTTAGTTTTTATCTACTTTACTCCTACAATTATGAACTTGCAAAATTCTTCTATTCCCCAACTACTTATTAAGTATATTTCATATCTCACAAATCATGGTAGGCACTGAAAATTATTTGAATCTATGATGTAAAACTTTAATAATGGGCTGGGTATGATGGCACATGCCTATAATTCCAGTGCTCAGGAGGCTGAGGCAGAAGGATCACCATAAGTGCGAGGCCAACCTCGACTACACAGTGAGTTCAAAGCCAACTTGGACTGCATAGCAAGATCCTGTCTCAAAAAAAATTACTTTAATAAAAGAAAATGGTATTTATGAAGCTATTATTTACCAACACTGTAGCAAGTTTTAGTTTATAAAGCATTATTTCTTTCTATGCTTTTAAAGCCCTAAAAAGTGCCTTGCCTAATATTAGTCCCGCTTTGCAGATGGGAAAACTGAGAGTAAGGCAAGGCCCAGGAACTTTCCCAAGGTTCCAGAGAGATTTGAAACCAGGTCTGCCTGACTCAATACTCATATTTGTGTGACCACCTAGAATTAAACATTAAGGCACATGATTATGTTTGGTTCGGAAAACTAGTCTAATTCTTTCAAACATGGTGGTTCTGTGTTAATTTGGTACTGGGAAACACTCACCCTAAAATGACGGGGTAAACTATGCACAGGGTCATACTGTCAAATGTGTTCAATGCTTTACTTTCATACAAGGGACAATTCATTTAGAATAGATGATCTCGGAACGTTAAAGTAACATGCTCAACACTGATTATTTCACTATATACAGGCTGCTGAAGAAATGCTAACTCTGTTGAGACTTTTTGTAAAAGAAACTTTGTCAACTTTAAGACTACAAAGTCATTTTTAACCATCTGATGTCAGAATTTCATGTCTACGAAACAGCCTTCAAATTTTAAAAATGTTTCATCCATATTTAATTGTACTCAAAATGAAAATGTGTTAACTGAAAAAAAACCTTCTAAAGCTCAGGTTATACCTATGCGGTTTCCAGTCACTGTAACTGTGAGGTTCACTGTCATTAAATGTGCATGGGAAAGGATGATATGCTATTTTAAAATCCTACCGAAAAAAGACAATCTTTCACATCACTCCAAATCGTGTAGAAAACAAAATGGAAACCTGCTGAAAAAGAAAAGTAGGTGATCTTAATCAGTTTAATCCAATCTATCTCCAACATAAATTTGACACTTTGTTTTAAAATCAAAAACTAAGGGCTGGGGATTTAACTCATTGTTTCCACTGCCTTCTTCACAAGTGCAAGGTCCGGAGTTCGATCCCCGATTCAAAAAAAAAAAAAAAATCAAAAACTAGGCAAAAAAACCTAAGGGATAAATAAGTAAAATTAGTTACAGAAATGCAGCGGGGCTTCAGTTTTCAAATCTGATTTGCAATACATTTATTTGAAAAGTTTATCACGGAAGTTAGTCTCCTAGAAGTTACATAATTTGAGGCAGAAAGTCAGAGACAAGACAAGCATTAGGGATGTTTATCAATAAAAATAAGTAACAAGGGAGACGAGTTTGTAGCACATCCAAAAGCGCTTGCCAAACACTCCTGCTATTTGTTTCCACCGACTTATTGTTTTGGAAAACATGTTGTTCTCTCTTAAAATAACCTGCTTAATTGTTCTAAAAGGCCACTGCATTTCTACGGAGGACTAACTTGCTCCCATACTGCGATATATTGACTGATAAAGTCCAAATAAGTTATGCAGAAAGTCACCAAAAAAAAAAAAAAGTTTGGAAAGCTCCAGTTGTCCAGTGATAAAAGGGCACTAGCTACTGAATGCATCTTCATCACCCTCTGTCAGTGAGACCAGCGCCTCCCTGGTCCTCTCCACAAACCTTAAGAATAATGGTCCTTTCAAACTACCTCATTTTGAAACTTCTACGGATGTGGGATGAGCCAAACTGATGGCCACAGGTAGCCTAGTAATTAACATTTTTAAGGAAGGTTAAAATGACCTTGGACGTTTTAGCATTCACTCCAAACCTCAGATTATAAATCACACAGTTTCAAGTCCAATGTGGTTAAAGCTTATCTGCCCGGGAAAGTCCCTGAGAAAACTTAATGAGTTTACAAAAAGAAAGGAAGATCCCAAATTATGAAAGACAAAGACACCGCAGCACCGGAAGATTTTTATGAACCGAATGTGATTCAAGATGTATTTTGTGCGCCTGTCATGGGATGGACCACGCTGTCCTCGAACACAGAGCACTGCCTCACGCTCAGGCTGCTCGCCCCTCCCGGCCCCCTGACTTCTGTCCTAAGCCCTGACATCTGCCGAGCGACTCCCAGCAGCCAGGCCAGGCCCCTCAGCTGGAGGAAGTGGATCCTGACAAGCAGGGAGAGTGAGGCAGGCACAGAGCTGGAACTCCAGGCTGGGGAGTGGGCGGTCTGCGTCCAGATGACACGGCCCAGCGATCCGAGCTAAAGTTGGAGTCTGAGTCTAAATCGGAACCAGGACAAACTCTGGGCCTCGGCGTTCCGGAGCACTGCCGGGGGAGCGGAGAGGCGCGAGGGCGGAGGTCCCGCGAAGTCTCCA